ATACGCATTTTAATTTAAGGAACCTAAGAACCCATCCCCACACTCTTTACAGTTTTATAGCAATTATGCACAAGGTTTGCATAAACACTTCAAAATCATCAAAAGCTGTTTTATCAAAACAGCACTTAAGTTTTACATATGTTTCAACACAAATTAGTATTCAGAATTAAACAGCAAGTTGATAAAAAAAAAAAAGGATGTCAGCTGTCATTTTAAACTCTAACCAGATATACAGAAAATGGACGTAAAGGAAGGCAAAGACTGGGCCAAAGTGATAGTTTCTTTCCAAATACTTTTTGTAATTTAATTATCTTATTAATTCTCTCACTGCCCTAGACTCCTAGCTACTCATGATGAATTTTATCACCACCAGAAAGCTTGAATAATAATTATTATAGCAGTAATGGTATTGGAACCATGATGACAGGAGGATATTGCAAAGTAAGGACAACAGTAGTACACTGAATACTAGAGACAACAAAAAGACATGCGGATATAGCTGGGCTTCCCGCAGACACATTTGCAAACAATACCTCTATGGTAAAAATATGCTCTTAATTTATAGCCATAGAAAGCTAAACTACAGCAATTAATTAATTACTTTGGAACATACAGACACTCAATATGAAGCCAGATCCTGACATTCAAGGGCACATCCTGCAATAACACTGATGTCCCGATAGTCAGCATATTCCTGACAGAAAAACATACATATATGCCCAACATTACTGTTTCCATAAGTATTGAGAATTTATAGCAGTGAAGTGCCTGGACATAGCAACTACAATCAGCACTAGCAGTAATTTTAATGCAGGCAATTACTGATAGGAATGCCAAATGGAGGGACTGCAGTTCTCCAAAACTTAAAAGGTCAAGTGGAGAGGAGTTAAGGGATGAATAAAGAACCAACTGACCCAATTCCAGGAAGCAAAGAGGTTGGCTTTTCTCTACTAAGTGACTGAAGACTTCTTTGAATGCTGCCTTTCTCAAGATGCAGGGCTTTAAACACAACTTCTCAGTGCCACAAGTTTTTAGGGGAGTGGGCAAATCCAGCAGAATTGATGGGCTTGTGCATCACACAAAGCTAAGGGTTTGAGTAAGATACTGCCCACCCCCCATCTAGGTAGCGAGTAGGACAGATTGCAGTTAAGAGTTTGTACATATTTATGAAATGAGGCAGCCAACTGGCCAACTTTCAGATGCCTCTCTCAACACTGGACTCCTTTCACTCAGCCTTTTTTCTTTTTGGTTGAAAAAATAATGCAAATACACATAACAGTTCAGCTATTTTTCTACAGCATGGAACTTTCATTATGCTTGCTAGGCTAGTATTTCAGATATATAAACAGATAAATAGCACCACATTTGAAGCAAAGCACTTACCACTACTTTAATATTGCCTTGACAAGGTTTAAATACACTTCAGATAAGTGACAGAAACTACAGATTGCAAACAATTACATAAAAGGGCTCAATTTTGACCCAATTAAGTAAAAATACATGGAGGATTCCATATGTAAAAGCCACTTATTTCCTAAAGAGAAACAAGAATTTGGAGAAAGCCATTCATAATTGGAAGACAAGACAAGTCTGGCCAGAATAAGTCTGAGTGACTCATGGTTTCCAGTCAGTAGATATGGAAATGACTTGTTCATGAACTGTTCAAATGTCCCTAACTTCAACAGCCAGGGGCAATACAAAGCTATGTAAAAGGAGAATCCAGCTGCAAATATGTTTGTTTTCTGAAATAAGAAAGGAAAAAATATTCCTATGATTTATTTCATTTTAGATGTACATGATAAACAGGAAAGCAATGGTTTAACTTGCTATGCTAACTCCAAAGTTTAAGTAGTTTAGCAAGGGCTGTTTAGAGCTTTTTTTTTTTTTTTAAATATATATACATTTATTATGTGTTTATATACGTACACACACATATATAAAATGCACAACCAGTCAATTTTAATTTAGTGGAGCATTTGGGGATCTCTGGTTTTGTTAGGGTTGTGCTGTGTTTTAAAGCAGTTCTTTTGACAATAATCTCCAGGAGACCTACAAAAAGAGACATAGCAACTTTCAATCATTCACTTTCAAAGACACATTGCAGACATGAAGATTTTCATTACTTTGGGTATATGCTCATAAGTAGAAAATAGACAAGAAAAATCAAAGGAGCATTGGTATGGCATTATGCCATGTTGTCACTGTTTTAGTTGCTTTATCACAGAGTAAAAAAGGTATTAAAAGTAGCTTTTTCTCATTTCCAGTAGTGCTATCACCTTTCCTTTTACAGTGCCAAGAATATTACTGAAACCTGACAGGTATTTCATTATTGAAATAACCCAATCTCCCTTCTTATATAGAAAAACAATGATATGAATAAAGGACCTAGAACTCCTTTAAATGCTTTCTCCCAAGGTTCTCAGTCTTGAACTAATTCCCTGCTTCATAGCTACCATTACCAAATCTGCAATATTGCATTAATTCACAAAAAGGAGCATGGCACTTGCATTTCTTCAGCTGTCCAACAAGTCTTTCTATCCTAAACAGCTGATTGTAATCATGGCTCTTTTCCACAATTGCCATAGAGGATAGTATTGTAACCTTTGTGCTCTTCAACTTAAATTTGTGTGTTAAAAAGTAACATACATAGATATGTACTGGCCCAAACCTGACCTTATCCAATGGAGAATCTAGAAGGATGCAGCTTACCTGGTGACTACCTCATCCATCCCAGTCCATGGATGGAGACTGAAGGTGTACACTTTATCTGATTGAAGACCATTTCATCTCTCAGAACTGCCCTCAAAATACCTCTAACAAAAATATCCCCTTGTCAGATAACTCTTCAGAATAGCACCTGATATTAGACTCAAAGGCACAGCTCTCACCACATCCCTAACTCTCAAACCTACTTCAAACCTACTTCACTAGAAGCATGAGGCCCACAAACTAGGTATCACAATACTAAAATTTTTCACATGCAGCATTCCAGAAGAGGAAAGAAATTTTAAAAGGTTGTGCCTCTTATTTCCACAGTTCAAAATAGATGTTGGGGTGCCAGTGAAAAGGGGGGGGTGAGATCAAGCTTCAGAGCCTATTACCAAGTCTGACTGTCTTGGTGTGTGCTTGGGAACATGTACGGTTATTTATTCGTCAAAATTCAGACATTACCAATTTCATAGAAAATGCAACAGCAGCAGCTGCAACACTTACTCCAAAAAGTTATAAATAAATACAAAAATCACAAACTATAACATAATAAATACATAAAATTAATACAATTGCTCTATATCACACTTTTCAGTGGGAAGTACAAGCATAGTATGGGAGTAATTTAAAATTTATTCTGAAAGTGTCTGGAACAACCAGAGGCATGGTGAAGGGAAACAGCAAGGGGGAACTAAATGAAAAAGTATGATAGAACCAGCACGGCAAAGTGGAAGAATGTTTCACTGGCTAGAGATATACTGAGGAAGCAGCATTAAAACTCTCATTTCAGGAAACCCAGCACACAAGAAAACAGCTTCTGAAAGAATGCCTCAGGCTACTCAGTGTAAAATAATAACTATTGGGCAATGGAGCTATATTTAAAAGAAATGCTAGTAAATTATTTGCATAGCTGTGTGCAGTCAGAACTGCCAACATTCACAAACTACTCTTTATAAATGAATTTCAAGTATAAATAATATACTAAGGAACCATGCATGCTATATTATGAGAGACAATTTAAGAAGTTTTCTGAGGGATTTTCCAGACACATGCAACTGGCAGGCCTACTGACAGGAGATTTTTTTTTTTCCTAAATGAAGGAAGCATAAGATGACTATTATTTCAACATCCCAAATTAGTAGAAACTCTTATATTCCTGGAAAGATTTAATCACTGGGAAATTAAATCATTTAACTTCAATGGAACAGCGCTTTGTTAGGTATTTGCACAGTGCTTGGAAGGATACTATCCCAGCGAGGGCCACAGGCACCAGGAAACTACCTTAAGAAAAGGTATAATAATCTGGCAATCAATCATCAATTAAATTTTCTTCCCTGGGCTCAGGAAAAGAGCATTAGCCTTTCAAGTTATTAATGTATTTTCAAACAAAAAAGAATGTAAAAAGTAAAATATGAAGAATTTCTCTCAAATGACAGAAGTAAAGGTGCTGAATTAACAGATATGAGACATAAGTCTGTTTATATCACTTAGCAGAAGAAATACTCCCACAGTACAGCTAACCAGTGTTTCAACATGATTTGAAGCAACAATCTGAAATGGTAATAAAGTTGTTTAATCCTTGCCCTCTCTGTTATGGCATGTTACCCAGACATGGACAGTTTTCAAAATCTAACATGCAAGTAACGCTAAGCAGCTAGACAGTAGCAGTATTACTTCACTTCCACCCCACCAAAGAGTAATCATTTCCCACCTACTATCCTCACCTTCTCTGATCTACAAACTCTCCCTTGAATGAGGCACTGTCTTCTCCCACTCCCCTGCCTAAACTTTAAGTGCTTCTACTACTTGCTATTGTAGAATAAAATTAAACAGAAGAACTAGAACACACATAAACTTCCCTCCTCTTCCTTCTCCCCATTAATGCATTAAAAAATTTGGGGGAGGGAAGAGATGGATGGATTACTTCCAACTGGATCAGTTTTTTTGATCCAACTCACCACAAACAGTAACGGCAATGCAGGAGATGGCATGTTTAATAGTAGGTCAGCTTAAACCAGAGGCAGAGCTGCATTCACCAAGCTTCCAAAAACCAAAGGGGATGGTCAGACATTTCCGTTACAGAAATGATAGTGCAAACCTCAACATTTGCCTTTCACATGCAATAATCTCTATTAGGGCTGCGTGTTCCTAGAGCTAATGGGCAAGTACCTACACCAAGCTTAAATAAAAGCATTGAAGTTCTCACTGGCAACTAGGGACAGCTTAGTCTGGAGTAAATGCCAATTTGGCTGCCCTTACATGTAAATAATTGAAAATAATATGAAAGATTAATGTCTGGTATGTACAAGTCTCACCAAAAAAGTACTTGAAACTGGGTTCTGACTGAGCTCTGCTTGTGATCTCACCACTGTAAACTATTTGTAAAGAGCTTAAGAAGTCCAACAGCTGCAGAGAAGTTATTAATATTTTGATTTTTTTTAATTAGGGAATTATCTTTCATATGATGAAGAAACCCACAGGTTTACAAATACCTTTTTCAATTATATTAGGATCATAATAATCTCATCACAGAGGAAAAAAAAGCAGCAGCAGCATTTGTGATGGTCATTTGCTTCTATATCTCCTGCACTTCTCAACTTAAAAAAGGAAAGTTTGCCAGGGCGACTGAGTTTTACCTATATAAAGTCTTACAAGAAGAAAGAGGTTCCCCTTTTTTTTTTCCTTTCCCAGAAACATGCTCCATTTTCATGTTATAGGCAAGACATTTTAAGATGTTGAACTGAAATTACACCCCCCACCCCCAGTTGTTCAGTACAGGCTCAGGAGTTGCTCATATGTGAAGAAATCGGATAAAACCCTTTCTAACACCAAGTGTAGCTGATTATTATTATTAGAACTGCAAATAAGATTGCTATTTGCTATCAAATCTGAAGTAATTTGGCATTCCTAGTCAGCACCTAATTCTTCCAGCTACTTTCCAAGATGACAGTTTACCATATATCAACACAAATACATAGTGTAGTTCAAAACCCTGTGCCCAAACAACATGCAGTCTGACTTCTAACATAAAACATCCACTGAAACAACTGAAAGACCAAAAGAACTACTTTGTCATTACTATCAAATCACTGCCTTGTCACACACACACACACACACACTTGCACACACCTCATTCTTTTGGGGGGCAGGGAGAAAGACTGGAATTCAAGTGCACTAGGCCAGCTAATTACTTTGATTTGGAGAAAACCATTCTCCATATTACAGCACAGTAGAAACATCACCAACCACAATGGCAAAAAATTTTCTGTAATGAAACCTTAACATTTGCTAGTCATAAAATACACACCAAACAAAAAGGAAGACATTCAGACACCTAGAAGCTTTTTAACAAAGCATACCCTCATGTTAAAAAAGCAGAACCGGAGTCCAGAGCTCTTTCAGAAAGCCCTTTTCTGTTTTTCACTAGTAAGGTTTTCACTAGTAAGTTGCTAACAAAGCAAATCTTTCCACCATACTTTTAACAAACTTTGCAGTAGTTTATTCACCTTAAGAAACAACATCAGCAGAACACAGTAATTACATTCTTGTCCCAAAGTAATGGGACCTGTGTATTTTACTCCTCTAAATATGTAACTTAATCATGCCCACTATATATATATATATATATATATATATATATATATTAAGGAGGAAGAGGAAGTTGTACTAGCAAAATTCTTTATTCTCACATGCATTATGTTAATCTTTTCATGCCAGAAGGTAGATTTCCCTAAAGTAACATATACTATCAGCAACAGAGGCACTGAAGCCATGGGTACCAACCAGTTTAAAACAGATGGGTCCAAAATTCCATTGAACCTTGAGCACTACGTTAACACCTATGTGAATTATCTTTCAATTTAATTGATTTTCTTCTTCAAATTTTTGTTTACAGTTATTGAGACCCTGCAAAACTATTACCTCGATTATATTTTAATTGGTACAAACATTCGGTTGAAAAATAAGCAGAGTAAGTGCCTCCTGTAACTTAAGCAGTGAAGCATTGCCATTTTCAGGGTCCTAATCCCTAACATCCACTTCAGAGAGAGCAAAGTAGAAAAGAAATGCTGAGAAGTAAAATCCCAACGGCATTCATACAGCTGAACATTATGCTGACTCTGGCTCTGTTAGAAGCTCGTTGTTAAATTTCCCATGCCACTTAAAGTCTACTTCCAGTTTTAACACCAGTAGGAACATGGCATGGGCACTTTTCTTCCTAGAAACTTTAAGTGTTCATAGCCTAAATGTCTTAGTACAGTCAAGTAATACAAGAAAACAAATCAACAACATTTGTAAACCAGCCCCTGCACTTGTACACACCAGAAGTCTCAGTGCTGTTTTTACAACTCCTAGGCACCACAAACCAGGTTCAGAATGGTATTTTTCCTCATCCCTGAGATCCTTAAGTAATGTAAAATCTATAAAAATTCTGCAGCCTTATGTACAACAGACAAAGTAGTAAGATGTTATCTACCTGGCAGGTATTACTCTAAAAAGGTCTTTTTAAGGAAGAAATAGCAAAAGAAGTCTTATACGAGAGTTTTCAAGTTCATCATTATTCTAACAGCTCAGTGACAGTCTAGATCACTAACCACACTCAGTAACAGTAAAAAATAACATCTTACATTCAATGGGAGTAAAACAAATTACTCGTTTGTCATTACGAACGTCTGTAGCCTTTGGTTTTTTACACTGTGCTTTCCTTTACAGTGCCAAGCGTTAGTAGAACGTTTGAAGTAGGAGTTAAATGTGAAGAGGATGATGATAATTCGCTGCAGCAGCAGGCAGCAGAACTAGAGTCACTTTCGGCACCGCTACCGCTTCTCTACTCCCTTCCCAGGTGCCTGTCACAGGCGCACGCAGGCCAGCCGCTGCTCCTAATAGCTTTGAGCACTGCTGCTCTCTCAAGAAAACCCATTTAGACACACTACAGAAATATTTATCTTTCCAGCACCGATCTCTCCTAGGTCTCATGATCACGCAAAACACACATACAAATGAACTCAAAGGCCAAGGCTGCCGCCGCTGCTGTTGACAGCCCCTCTGCAGAGTCCCCAGACCATATCGATCCGGTCCTGTTCCGTTTCGGGCATGTAAACACGAGGAGCCGTACGGGAGAAGTAGCCGGCGGTGCGCGCCCCCCCACGCCCGCCCGCCCGGCCGGCCGGCACACCGAGGC